TGGTGAACAAGGCGGTGGCGAAAAAATTGCGACTATTGGCGGTCAATGGAGTCGGCGTTAAGACTCAGTAGTATGCTCGTAATAAGGACATCAAATAATCCTGTTAAAAAAGGTGGTGTTGATAAAAATACCCCACGCCGGAGGCGAATATCATATTTCCTGGTGAGTGCGCGTAGCAATCCCTGTAGTCAGATTCCAGCGGGAAAATTTTAGATTCTGGGTGTACCGGTAAATGTTCACGCCTACCGCGCGCCCCTTCCGGGATTAAAGTCCGTATCTGCTCTCTCCCGGGCTTCCAGGCTTTACATCCTCTCTGACTGGTAAACTCGTACCAGAATATGAAATGGTGGCCTTCAGACTCGCAGTTCACTGCCGATATCGACTGACTAGCTCATCACGTTAGAAGTGTGATTGCTGGAAGGCAATGGCAAAAATAGCCTTTAAGCTGAGCAAGCAGTAGAGCGGCCCCGGCGCGCAAGGGATAACGAATAAACTGCGAATAAGCGGAACAGATGTAGTTCTAGCCCCAAATCATAATCTAGACTTCTGCCACTAACCAACACTTGTGGCTACCCAAATTTGTTCCGCAACCCTGAGCAAGCGCTGCGTAGCACCTTTCTAAGGAAGGTATTCTTATAAGGCCCTATCAAGCTACAACATACCGACCCGAACGCCCACCGCGCCCGCCCGCCCACAAATGGACGACCGTACCTGATGCTCGTATTGCTTCATTTGCTAAGTAAAATATGAAGCGAAGGGATTGGTATGAAGCGGCTGTGGTGCTGCATGGATATATGAGTACACATATGCAGCCGTATCTTCGGTAGCGGTTATTGGCAAGATGCCTACGGGAAACTCGTCCGAAATCGATTTTCAAGTCACTGAGAACGGAGGCTTTTTCTTCGCAGGATTTTGACCGTTTCACTCCGTTCTTTCGCCATTTCCCACTATACAGCGCCCTTCTAGCATTTTAGGCCGCGTACCAAATTATCGTGCCAACTGAAGAGAACGAAGGGCACAAGCTTTCTGAAGCTTAATGCTTTTAATAGTGGGATAGTTATGAACTTTCCAGGGCGTATCATCTTTGGGAATTATAGGGGTGGGGTCGAACTTGATCGCTGGGGGTGGGAAGTCTTATTGGTCTGAATTTTTTTGTCAGTTAATTTTTCTTGCTTCAGGGACGCTATAAGGAGGCGAGTCGTACTTGCTCATCGTTGGGACAGGGCGGGGGTCGTATTTGCTTTCTGAGAGAAACTTGCGGCGTTCAAAAAAATTATTTCCGGCTATTGACTTTGACTTTTGACTTTTTGCGGTTTTTCCTGTTTCACGTGAGCTGTATAGCCCCTGCCGCTCCACAGCGTGATCGTTTCAGAGGAAAGAATAAGGGGGACCGTATTGAGCCACCTCTTAAGGGGGAGGGGCCCACGGACTCGACCATAATTCCCGACTAATGATGGGCTATGTTCAGTCCTAAAAGTTTTATGAGAACAAACCCTAAAAAGGAAACCTGACAAACAACCTTTGTTGTTAGTTACGTTCTCTGTTGGACACTCATCTATCCGAATGAATAGGAAGCAGTACGTAACCTATGTAAAAATCAATGGCAACAATATGGAAAGTAGCGCGAAAAGTAATGAGTCACTACTGGCTCATATTGTACCACGTGGACACACGTATGAGCTACCGCTGGTCTTTATTGTCGTTAAGAAGCCGACTATAGTAGAACTGATTTGATCTCAACAACGGGTTACATTTTCCTCATCGAGATGTGCTCAATTACACTGTATTTTTTGCGTTTCTCTGTGATTTTTCTATATTAGATGAGGTCACTTTATCGGAGCTCAATAATGCAATAACATGCAATTATTATTCCACTAGTAATACTGTTCTTTATAAGATGTTTCGTGAATGGACAAGATCGCTCCTTATTTGTAGACGGCCTTCCTGCCAAAGAATAAAATAAACAAATGTTGCCCAAAGCCGTTGGATGCTACTACTTTAAGCGCGCTCGTCATATCTCAGCCGGAATCAAATCATACCGAGCACGTCAGCTGCAGGCTGAATGGCTGTGAGTCTCCGCCCATCCTATCAACGCGGAATAAGCTGGCCTTAATACATAGTACAGCAAAAGAGCAGTACTCGCAGGTATAAGGTCTCGGGCTTTCCACGATTGTTAAGCTTTTTTAAACTGACTTTTTTGCTTCTTCGCCTTTCTGGGAGCCTGAAGGGTCCGAAAGCTTTCGGTAATGATCCGCTTAGTGAACCAGACAATCCTGAAGGCAGTTTCGTTGAGTAGTCCGAATGTTGCTATCGATCAAATGAAAGCGCTACCGAACTCACCTCTTGGATCACTTTCGCCGAGGAGCCTCAAAAGAAGAGGTGAACCTCATTTTTGAGTCGACCATTCGGTGGTGGGACTCATGAGAGCCATTAAATGAGAATTCATCTTGATTATTCATGCCAAGACTAAGCTAAAGTCGCTCTTGAAGTACCACTGACAATGGAATTTTTGCGGGAGAGAGATTGTCACCAAATTATTATTGAGCTGAAAAAAGTTATACTGTTTATCCCAAAGATGGAATGGGCGTGGTTCATGTGAACGTGGGGGATGTGTTTGTTTTGGTACAATCGTAGTCGTGTTTTTACGCAAGATCGGGTCACCGTTGCCGTATATGGAAATATCCCACGAAAAAAACATCTTGCACCGTGTTCAAGTGACGCACGCAGCCACGCCCTCCCCGCCTTCCGGATATGAAGTGTAACTTACCTCTTTAACAATGCTCGTTACTGTAGTTTTCCGTCATTCGATGTTGACCAGATTATTGTGAAGTGTTGAAAAAGGTGCTAGTTTCAGAGATGCCATCACCATGTGCAGTCTGTGAAATGCCATCAAGTGGCCTACATTTTGGTGTCTCCTGTTGTCGAGCATGTGCAGCATTCTTTCGGCGTACACTTTCTTTACGGCTCAAGTACAAATGTCGTTTTTCGAAAACATGTGAAGTCACTCAAAGTAAACATGATCATTCAATTTTTTGATTACCGTTTATTCCTTAGTTAAGCGCTCATTAGTAAAGTTGTGCGAGGGCGATGAGAGGTTGCAGGGGGAAACGGAAAGACAATCGTAATCTGCGGCGTCGTCGTACGCGGTGCATCGTGCGGCGATGCACGCCAAATTCTTGGTGTGGGTCAGTTTGTTGATCGGGGCACCAAATCTCATGTGGAATTGAGCAAAGGCGCTTCTATCCTCCAGCGCCAAATAATATAGCTCCTTCCCGTCCCTTTAGCACTGAAGTTCAAACGGCGAGGCGAAACAGCCGTCTCTTAGCGTGGCGTCGCTTGCCACGCCCACCACTCTGGCATTCCACGATTGTCTTGTCATATGTAATAACACACGTAACAATACACGCTCTGCCGTTACGGACAATTTTTGCAAAGGTACGACCTTACTCAGAGTTTCCTCCTCTGGTACAAAACTTCCGTTCCTAGGTCATGTCTACCACCATCTTCTTCATGAATTTCCCCTTTTTTCTACCTTTTTAGCCGTCTCTGCTACCGCTTTAACACTTCTTTCTTTTTTCTTCGGCAGGTAGTTTTCCCTGCAACTGTCGTCGACTGGAGGACTGAGAGGAGAATTCATTCGATAGCACTTGGAAACAGGCAAATAACCTAGAAACGTAATCACCCGAAGGCGGGAGGCAAATAAACCTCCCCTCCAGCGACCAAATACTACCCTTCACTAGGGATACCCAACGAACGACGTGCGCTGGTCGAACACCCGGGGCAATGAGTGACGTGGCTACTTCGCTGCTTGTCTGGGTTCTCTCACCGAGCTGAATAGAATTACTCCATGTCGTGCTCCTAGTTATACTACCCGTGTGCCTCTTCTTTTATGTGGACCCTCGGCGCTCACATCCTCATTGCTGCCCTCGGATAACAAAGCAGCTAGCCAGTCCCTCTCCGAAGCTCAGCGCTGAAGAGGCGCCCACAACTTCCTTCTGAGCGTGTGCCCCCGTGCCCCCGCGTGGTCAACTAGACTGCCCCGCAATTATTTCAAAACGGTGTTACAAGAAGAAGGTATTACTGGACAAAAAGGCGAGGGGATGATTAGATTCGTAGTGAGTCCGCGTTCCTACTTTGCGGCAGCGTCCACCAGCGTCTACCAGCGTCCACAGCGTTCCGAGCGTCCGGCAGCGTCAGCGACTAGGAAAGTATAGATATCGATCTAGCGTCTGCCAGCGTCCACCAGCGTCTGCCAGCGTCTCGAGGGCTAGGGAAGTATAGGTATCGATCTAGCGTCTGCCAGCGTCTACCAGCGTCCACCAGCGTTCACCAGCGACCGGGAGTAGAGAGTATGGCGAGGTAAGAGCTGGAGTAAGCGCCATGAAATTGCGGCGTGTGCAACCGCACCGTACAACTATTCTACACCGCACATTAAGTTGCATAATTCTAGGCTTAGCAGCTGTGCGGTGCGGTTGCACACGCCGCAATTTCACGACCTCCTGAATCCAGCTGTTTGCTACCCTCCTACTTCCCCATACTCTCTACTCCCGGTCGCTGGTGAACGCTAGCGGACGCTGGTAGACGCTGGTAGACGCTGGCAGACGCTAGATCGATACCTATACTTCCCTAGCCCTCGAGACGCTGGCAGACGCTGGTAGACGCTGGTGGACGCTGGCAGACGCTAGATCGATATCTATACTTTCCTAGTCGCTGACGCTGCCGGACGCTCGGAACGCTAGTGGTCGCTGGTGGACGCTGCCGCAAAGTATGAACGCAGCCTAAGGGATGGTCGCGCTCCTCCGACTTTCACGACGGAGTGCTGATTAAGCTATTCCAAGCTTACGGTCAGTGCATGCGGCCCCTGAAATGGGTCACTATGGATTTTATCAGGAACAATTAAGAGATTTTTTATTTCCTGTTCAATATGAGGATATTTTGCATTAAACAATTTTCTAGAGAAGCGCTACTCATGTCGATATTGCCGTTTCGAGAAATGCCTTATGGTTGGTATGAAGAAGGAAAGTGAGTTGTAGGGAATTTTCCTTTATATCCGTAAATAAGTCAATGTCAAGTGTCCAGATTCAGTGGTGCAATCAAACAATCCAGCCGATCCATTCGAAAATCCGAAGCCTTCATCGTCTAATCCTGGCTCTAATACGGTAAAATTTCGTGATAAAATTTCTTGAAAGATCTATTGTAGTAATGTTGTAATCCTTGGTTCAGTCGTATTCATCCTGTTCACCACCGGAACCATTGTATCGCATCCCA